AGTCCTGTTTATTGTGGAAATGTAAATTGCAGAACATTGCAATTTTGTTTTATAGACACCAGAATTGGCTTACATGTATGTACATCTTTTGTCTATAACACATTAGTTTAGTCTAACTGAAAGTTAGCAAAAGTGGTTCCTGCCTCAACAAGCCTTAGTTAAGAAAAAGCATGCATGAGTGTTTTGTTTTCAATCTTGTGCTGCTCTAAGTAGCAGGAATAATCCAGAGCAGAACAACTTCTGTTATTTTAGGAACTCATGATTTTTGTTAACCCTTTTCATTTGTAGAAATTAAGGCCATTTTGATTTTCCCTGTGCTTCCAGAAGAGTATTTTTTAAATATGTATGACATGTACAGATTTGAGACTTGAGAACAGTTCAGCTGATCATTTTCCACAGGTATTTACCAGGTCAATAAATAGTCTCAAAACTAAATTTTTAAGAGAGCAAATTAGTGAAGATGAATAATTCCTTCTATAACCACAGTTCTGGGCAAGAAGCAGGTTGCGTTGCATGTGGCTGTTGCTCCTCAGGTGCAATGAAGGTTAGGGAGCATCTCTTCTGTCTTGGCTTCCCTGACCTATGATTTTCAGCTGCCCTGTGTTTCAGCCCAAGTTATTCTGGTGTGCCTCGTCTGTCCAAAGTGAAGCGTTAGCAGAATTTCTGTAGGTTTTGTAAAGCCACATTGTTTGGGTCGCCAGACACCTACGGATACATACGCTTAGCACAGTGCAGGAATAAAAATTGTCTGGAGACCTTTCTCAGTGTTTCCTAAACAAAGTGCTTATTCGAAGGAGGCTTGGAGAGTTTTTCCATCACATTTCAGTCAATGGCTTGAGGTGGCATGGGTAACAGATGACCAATGTGTCATTCCCATTTTGCCTGTTTCTCTTGTCACACTGGTGGATATTTCTTCACTTTTGTTCTACTTTAATATGAAGCACACAGATGTTTCAGAACAAGACTTGACTTCTGACCTTGGGGCTTCCAGGGTCAGGGTGCTCAGGGCCTGTGAAATTATCACAAGCTGAGCTAAAGTTTTTATCCATCGCAGGAAGCAACCAGTAAGTAAGAAGTTAAAAAGGAGCTTTGTCAGAGAGACAAGATGGTCTCAGTAAGGGTCAGCTTCTGTAGTCTGCTGTCTCTGCAGGAGATGCATGCCTGAGAGGAAGAATATAATATATAACCATTGGCACATCACATATCTGTCATGCAAAACTAGACCTGAGAAGTATATTTAATGTAGTCCGATCGTTTTTTAAAAAATCAAAGGATATTAACACCTGGTTTTGGTAGAGGTGGTTTGATATCTGAGCTCCACTGAAAGCAGTTTAGTTAAATAATGCATACACTGAAGCAGATATCATTGAAATAAACCCTGAACTATTTTATCACAATAATAATTGGTAAGATTTTATTTTGTTATGATCTTCTTCCTCTTCAACTTTGTATCCATATGGCACTTAGTAATTGCAAAGAGCTCAAAAAAAAGAAATGGAGCAGCTGATGGGCAATTACTGTCTTATGACAAATACATATTCGATCACTTTCTTTCCTGCTTTGTGTGGGGGAGTTGAGGAGGGTGATAGAGCAGCTACACCATATAGCAACCGTACCACCTCTACACTTGCCATGCAAGAATTTTGGGTCAACTGATTCATAAAATTGTAGGTTACAGTAGTTATGGAGACCTGCTGCACAGCTGCTCCTTCTGCATCCGTGCCTCTTACAGGAGAGCAGTGTGAAGCATATGGCTTTAATTTGGAGTGAAGGTTTCTGCCTGGGCTCTCTGCATTTTATTGTGCCCACAGGGAAAAAGAAAACAAGCAAAAAAGTCCAAAAACATTTGCGTTTTCAATGAATATCTTTTAAATTCACTTTGCACGTTCAGTGCTTCAAGGTCTGTCCCAATCGTTTGCAACCATCTCAGTCACAGATTCCCCAGCTCATCACTTCGTCATGGTGCAAGGCTCTTGATGAAAACCTGACACTGTGGCGTTAAGCAGAGAAACCCAATGAAACCTGATATTAAGCAAAGACTCATTCGTGATTGCTCATACCATGACGTGGGAAGAGTTGCTGCTCTCCCGGAGCAGCATGGGGGAAGTGTTCAGCCTTGCAAGGGCAGGACACGTCCAGGTGCCCCTCTGTTTGCAGCTGCTAAAGGAGCTGGCACAGGACAAGCAGCTCTGCTGTGCCGTGTCCCTTTGCTCTGCAGGTTTCTGAAGTCCAGTGCTGGGATGTGGGCACACATTTTGGTGGGAAACGCAACGTGAAAAGAGAGCAAATACGACTATCACATATGAAAGTGGTATAAAAGGAGGAGCATTGTTGTTTACAAATCCTTGGTGGCCAAACCTGGTCTTTATTCCAAATTTTATCTCACCATAAAAATTGGGCTGTGGTTTGGAAGTCCTTCGTTAAACAAACCAGTAAAACTTGGCTGCAATTTTCAAATACATGCCACAGCATCTAAGATTTTTATTGGTCTTTGCAGCTTTTTAATCTCCATTTTTGCATGTCAGTGATTGCGAGATGTTAAGAAAAACAGGGTGAGTCTGTAATATCATGCTTGAATGCACAGAAACTGTTACCCAGTTACTGCGACGTCGGCACACAATTTCTGTACCTTGCTGGGTCATAGATTACTAGGGGAATAATTGAAAGTGATTGAACATGTGTGGGAAGTAAAGTTCCACCAATAAATGTAATTAGTTGTATTGTTTATAGCTTGAATTACAAATGCTAATCATAAACCATATGCTAAAATGTATCTTAATATTTAGTAATTAAAACTTTGTGTAATTGTGGTTTGAAATTAAATGTGCATCTAATAATATCTACACGTAAATTACTTTTTGAATACACGGCACTAAAAATAGTTGTTGGGTCACTATGTTCTACTAATTACTGATTTTGAAAAACTCAAGCCATGATTCATGAACACATCTCAGCTTCTTACTTCTGTTATCCCTTACACAGTGTAGTCAAGGATTTATTTTCAGAAGCAGCTTGCTGTAGTTGACGGTAAATTGTGGAACTTTCCCAACTCCTAGCTTATAATAATTTTATGAAATTTAACAGAAAGTGAGAATTTCAAGTTGATGGAGTCAATTTTATATTTAGTTTACAGAAAATAAGTTTCTGGTACAACGCCTCCTTTGAGTTTTTCTGCCAGATTTTGTGGGTTTACAATTATTTTGCTTTAAAAAGAATGTTTTCCCTTGTCATTGCCTGCATGAAAGACCTGTGCAGGAAAAAAGATATGCTGTGCCCCCATGCCTACTGGAGTGCTGTGGCCATCCCCTGCAGATCTAATTACAGCATCAGGGCCTGACTGCATGTAGAGGGGACAGAAAGGGTGGTCCTAGGATGCTGGGTGACAGGTAAAACTAGCTGTGTCCACCATTGTAAAAAACACATGACAACTACTCATTTCAGAATCATGAGAAGAATTGTTAAATCTAAGCTTTCAAAATTGTCAATTAGGTATGCAGTAGCCTGAGATTTAAAAAAATTTAAAAAAAAAAGATTCTGTGGAAGATTTCTCCTGTTTGCCTCCTATATTCCTGAGACCTTAGGCTTTGCATTTTCAAGGGTTTCCTCAACACCTTCTGAACCAGAAGTGTAGGGTTTTTGCTTTAATTTTAGTTAAATAATATCTTTAAGAAAAAAAACCCCACCAAGTATCATGGGAATCATGACAAAATTGTGAGAATCGGTAGTGGTATCTCCAGCTTACAGCATTCATACTGCTGTAAAAATACAAAGCGCACGGGGAAATGTAATATAATTAAATTAGGAGAAGGAAAGTAGGTTCATTGTCTTTGAGCAGATGAGAAACTATTCATTATGGTCTTTGTTGGCTAAAATGTTGGATGTATATATTGACAATTTGCAGAAAGGTGTACATAAAAGTGTGTGTGTGTGTGGTTTTAGGCAGCTTTGTTAAAATGAGAGCCCTTAAAACATACTGTTCAAATTACTGTATCTGCTGTAGCATCCTAATTCCATCAAAATCAGCCAATTTTGTCCATTTAAAATAATTTCAGGTCCATCATTTTGAGATATGCTCTGCAATACGCGGCCACTTCATTTTGTTGTATTGTGCTGAGTACGGCGAGGACCTGACCCTGGCTAGAGCTGATAGGTGCCATAATAATAACGATGATAAACAGACACCTGCTG